GGGCGCCGCACCTGCCGCGCCGGGGGCCGCAGACTTCGGCTTCCTGGGGCCGGGGCCGGCGTACGACTTCCCGTGCGCGCTCGGGCGGCCGGCCGACGACGGCGGGGCGCACGTCCACTATGCCACCTCGGCAGTGTTCTCGGGCGGCGGCTCCTTTCTCCTCAGCGGCCAGGTGGATTACGCGGCCTTCGGCGAGCCGGGCCCCCTCCCGGCGTGTCTCAAAGAGCCAGCCGACGGCCATTCCGGCGCCTTCCAGACCTCGTCCCCGGCCCCTGGCGCCTACCCCAAGTCCGCCTCTCCGGCCTCCGGCCTCCCGGCCGCCTTCAGCACGTTTGAGTGGATGAAAGTGAAAAGGAACGCCCCTAAGAAAAGTAAGTGTGTGGGCTTTAGACGGAGTCTCGGGGCTTGGGGACTGAGGCATTGCGCTGGGAGCGCGTCGCGGCTTCCTTCTGCATCGCGGGGTGGGCGTTTTGAAGTTCCAGCGACGTGCCCCGACTACACTTGTGGGAATGCCCGGCATTGGGTAAAGTGGCAAGACGCCTCTGCGTGGGGCATTCCTCCTGGCGTCACTGAGCTCACGAGACCCAGGAGGGCTGCGTGTGAAGGTTCTGTAGCCCCAGTGCTTGCCCACCTCTGTCTTCTGTCGCTCCTGGTCCTCTCTCCCCGCTGACGCTCTGTTCCTCACGTTACAGGCAAACTCACCGAGTTTGGAGCTGCTAGCCCTTCCAGCGCCATCCGCACGAATTTCAGCACCAAGCAACTGACAGAACTGGAGAAGGAGTTTCATTTCAATAAGTACTTAACGCGAGCCCGACGCATAGAGATCGCCAACTCTTTGCAGCTGAATGATACCCAAGTCAAAATCTGGTTCCAGAATCGTAGGATGAAACAGAAGAAAAGGGAACGAGAAGGGCTTTTGTCCTCAGCCACCCCTGTGGCTTCCCTCCAGCTTCCCCTCTCAGGAGCAAACCCCATCAAGCCTGGCAAAAACCAGGGGAGCCCTGCTCGGGTCCAAGAGCCTTCATGAGGTTTAGTCTCAGGGCTGAGGAAACCTTGGCCTGCCAGATGTCATAGGCCTTTTCACCACTTTCTAGACTTCGTAGCTCATTTTCAGATGGAGGTGGGCAGGGCAGAAATTAATAGACATTTCACTTAGTTGGCTTCTGAATTCTAGGCTGTGGGTGTACAGATATTAATTTGAAATTTCTTAAGCCACTCATTTGTGCATTACGTTTGTCTTACCAGGGAAAAGGTGCCCAGTGGCCCGCCCAACCCTGCTGCTACATTGCCTGACTTAGTTATATGCAATTCTTGGGCATAGACTGGCAAAGAATTAGTTGCTAAGCTCTCCCTGGTGTTCTCAGAAGAACATCTACCCAAAGTTTTTGTGGTATTTTAAAGGACAAGGCTACATGTATTCCGCTTCTTGAAGTTACCAAAGCTAGTTATGGCCACTTTGATGTAACTAAGCTGCTTAAATGGTGATCTTCACATTTGCACTTTTTTTTTTAAAAGCAGTTTCTACCTCTCCATGTGCCTGAGTGAAGATACAATCGCTGTTTAGTTAGGAGCTATACAAATCCACAGGGTAGGTAAAGATTAGAACCTGAACTACACCTTGATACTGGTTACTCACACTTGAATGTAAATATATACAGTATGTATATTTTTAAAAGGTTTGCTTGTAATGAACTTATATATGACATTTAATGTCCTAGCATGTAAAGGGTTTGAATTTTTTTTTGTAATAAAAATTACAGAATCTGCTACCCAGCTTTTCCTAACACTCCTTTCATTTTGATTATCTTTATTTAAAGCTAATTCAGTTTCTTCTATTTGGAATTTATACATTCTATCTTGGGAGTTTGTTTAGGTTGGCAGCTTTTTAAAGTAACACTTCTTACAGGTTGTGTACACAAACAAGTTAGGGACAAGTATCCAATTTAAGGAAGAAAAAAAATGACTGTCAAACACCCAACTAACTAAGGAAGTATGTACTTAAGTGCCCTAGGTGTATGTCAAATATGTGGACTGCATGTTAAGTCAAAGGAGAGGTTACCACTGTGGGAATGTTATATAGTCCAGGAGATACTGAGAGAAATTTCCTTGTTCTTTTATCTTCTCCCAAAAAGAAGAGTGGAGGTGAAGAGTCCTTTAGTTGATCAGTGACTCTGGGAAAGACAGCTGCACATCAAAAACTTCTGAGAGACTGAATTCCCATTTCCAAAGTCAGGAATTACAAAGGGGATTGAGCGAGGCCCATAGCCACTTCCTGTGACCTAGACTGGGTTTCTGGCTTTATAAGAGAGGTCCTCTGATTTCTATTTATTTTTCCCCAAAGATATATTTATTTATGCATGCAGAACTGGGGTACAAGCCAGAGGTACAGGTACAGGGGCAGTGAGAGAATTCACCAGAGAGTAGGGAGCAGAACAGGCAGATCAACGAAGCACACTGCTGAGGGGAGTAGTGGGCGAGACAGGAGAGGTCTGTCATGCCATGTGGGTCACCTCCCTGTCTGGGGATCAAACATGGTGAAGTGGCTGAGGCTAGCTTGGCAGTGCTGTTCTTTAACCCATTCCGTTGTGACACCAGGGAGGGCCCCCACTTCTGTTTTTTTTCAAAGATTTTATTTATGCATACAGAACTGGAGTACAGACCAGGGGTACAGGGGCGTGAGAGAATCTACCAGAGACAGAGTGAGGAGTGGAACAGGCAGATAGACAAGGTACACTGCTGAGGGGGAGCAGCAGGCAGGTCAGGAGAGGTCTGCGGCACCATGTGGGTCACCTCCAGGCTGGGGATCGAACTTGCACTGAAGCAGCTGCAGCCAGCCTGCAATACTGCATTCAAACACATTGCACCACCATGGAGGGCCCCCTCTTATGTTTTTAAATGAAATATTTTTGAATTATTTCTTTGGAGAAGGACAAGCACAAAATTTGAAAATTGCCAAAAGGGTATGTGATGATAAACCTCTAACCTTATTTTTACTCAGCTTCCCAGTTCCCAATCCTAAAGGTACCTACATTTGACCAGACTTTTATGTGATCCTATAAATTTGTTATTCAAAAAAAAGGTGCAATGTTAATGCGTAAAATTAAGTTAATGCACGAAATGGAACAATTGTCAGGGCAGTCATTTCTTTCACTTTATAACTAGCTTCACCTTCTCTGTATGGTTGAAATAAAGGACTTTTAAAACCAGATAATCTAGATAAGGACCTTAGCTCTCTTAGTTAGATTTCTAGATTCTGGTGTAATGCTTCAAGTCCAAAAATTCAGACATCTAACAATTGTGAAGGATTACTTTTCCTATAAAACAGGAACATGATTAATTGTCTTAGAAGATTGAAATTGCACTTAAATTTCTGCTATTTACACCCACAGTTTAATGGAATTGATGAAATAAAATTATCAGTGCTAACTAACTCAGTCCATGGGGGGGGGAGGGGTGATAAGAGAGCAATTAAAAAGCAGGTCTGTCAACATTACTTGATGCTAGTCAGATCTTACTTGAAACAACAGCCCCCTCTCTGAGCTGGGTTGCTATTTGGAAGGACTTGTTAAATAGAGTTGTGGTCTGCTCCCTTAAAGCCAACTCCAGGCTTCCCCTGCAGAGGTCTTTGATAAGACAATGTTTCCTTTTTGATAAGCAGCCAAATACACCCCTAAACAAACAAACATAAAATACCAACACACTTGGTCATTTCCTTAATCTACCTTCCTTTTCTCTGAGAAAATGAAATTTTTCCTTTTGAAGCTACTACTAGCACTTAGCAGCCCTGATGGATGTCTTTCCTGATGAAGGTGGCTATTTTGACATATGTATAATGCTGTTCTATGAATCAGGCCAATATTAGCTATTTTTTGACCAACCCCAGGGATCTTTAAAAGCTTTCTTAATGCAGATTGCCATACAGCTATATTCAGTATTATGGAGGGTGTACTGCCTGGAGATTGGGACATACTAGGTCACCTCTGGAGGTCCCTTACAGAAACATTTCAGTGACTTCTGCATATTTCATTTTGAGCCTATGATTGGAAAAATGTTCAGGTCTAAGAAAGCAAATGTAGTCCTTAGGATTATTATGATACTATGTTATATTGGAAAAGTTGATTGTAGGTATCATCAAATACATCTTGGAGGTTCCTAACCCAAGTAGATGCTTATAGAACATTCCGTTTCCCCTTATTCAGCATCTTGTGTTATATTGAGACATCTTCCATGAAGTATGATGCTAACACAATTTATTTCTATTTTACAAGATTTCAAACTATGCTAGTTATCTACTAGTGATCCCTTACAAGAATTAATACACAGTGAACAGTTCTGATTGTGATATAATTAACTATTCAATGTTTCTTTGTCTTTACAGAAAGCCCAAGTGGCTGTTTTTCTGCATCAGGACAGTTGGGAATGAGGAAGAAAATATATATATATAGCATTTAACAACATATGAAATGTCCATCACTTGATCAAAAGATCAACTGGATGTGATTTAATCTTCCTTAATCTCATATATGGTAAGGACTAAGATCAAAACAGATTTTGTCTGATTATCATGTCATCAGAGCAGAGGGGTAGGCTCAGGAGAGTTGCATTAAATCTGAAATTCTTAATTATTTCTTAGACCTAACAAATGCTCTATATTTGCTGAATATTGAATTTGAAAACCTCAGGACCTAATCAGGTTCAGAGAGATGTTTAGTCTGACCACAGACCTCTCAACAAGAAAAATGCCCATTGTTAAAACTTTATTTGTGGTTTTAAAGTGAAACCATGCTGGACATACCTCACAAATAATGATAAATCTCCATCTAAGTAGAAATCAAGATTTTCATGGTTTTGACTTCCATAATATACTTCTGGGTCATGAATGAGATAGTTTACTCAATATCTCTTTTGCAACTGCTTCTGAAGTTATAGAGAAATGTAATATCAATAGAAACCTTTTAAATTCAATAGTAAGCCAAGAAAAAAAAAATCTAAGTATTGGAATGGATGGAAAGTTTATCACTTAGATTGTAGAGATTTAAACACTCTTCTACTTATAATATTCTTATTGATATAAATTGGAAAGTGTTCCCCAAAAGCAGTCATTTGGATTTGTAAGAGCTAATAAAGCAGGTCAGTAGAAACTTAGGCACTCCTATGGGCACTAAACTACTTAGAACATCCCATTCCTGGGGGTTTTGAAGAGCCTGGACTATAATCTGAGAGGACATCTTTAAGAAAAAAAATCATAATTATGAAATTATTAGAGCACCTCTCAGTACCTGGAAGGGCCCAAGTTAGTGAAATTTAAGCTTCTTTGTGTTCAAAGTAAATGTATCTTTGTGCTTTTTCTGAAACTGTTGCTCCATTTCCACTACCTAGACATTGTGTATATGGTGATAGCAGTGATTGCTCTTCTTTAACACCTTAAAGCCAGAATTATACTCTTTGCTCCTTTTAAATTTATCAGTGAGAAGCTACAGAGAAGGGCATGAGGGAACTCTTTCTGCTTTCTGAGCATCTCAGTCCCACTCTGTTCTTCTGGCAACTGGCTGGTTGAATTATTTCTCAGCCTTGGAATGGGAATGCTGTCTCATCCTAGAAGTACTTTTCTGTTGTGCTTTCTTCTCAGTGACATAAATGCATGAGAATATAGAGCTGGAGATGAACATAGCTACACTGTTAACTTTCAGGCATTTCCAGAAAGGATGGAAAAAAAAGAATCTCTTAATGAATGGTGCTTTGAAAACTGGAAGGCCACATACAAATGAATGAAAATGGATCACACTATAACTCCAAACACAAAAATAAATTCAAATGGATTAAAGATTTAGATGTAAATCCTGAAACAGTAAAATATATAGAAGAAAACGTTGATGATATCTTCTATGATATCATTGTTTTAGGAAACCCAACCCCTACAGCAAAGGAAATAGAAGCAAAAGTAATTGGAATTGTCTCAAGTCAGAAACATTTTGCATAGCAAAAAATATAAATAAGAAAATTTTAAAAAATAGCCTACTGAATAGGAGAAAATATTTACACAAATATATAACTGATAAGGGATCAATATACAAGGTATATTATAAGTACACAGTTCAACAGTAGAAAAACAAATGGACCAGTTAATAGTTGGGCAGGAGATATGAATAGACCATTCACTGGAGAGGATATCCAAAATACCGTAGATATATGAAATTTTCATCATCACTTCCAACAAGAAAGATGCAGGTTAAAGTCACACTTGTGAGAATGCACATATTAAACACTCCCACTAACAAGTCCTGGAGAGGATGCAGGGAAAGATGAGGCCTATTGCCTTGTTGGTGGTAATGTAAATTGGGACAGCAATTGTGGAAAGCAATTTGGATTCACCTCAAAAAAACTAAAGGTAGAAGTACATATCACCCAGCAATCCACTCTTAGGTTTATAGTCAAGAAACATGATTCCTTCAATGCAAAAAATTGCATACTCTACATTTATTGCAACATTATTTCCAGTAGATAAGAGATGGGAGCAGCTTAAATGTCCGTTAACAGATTATTAGATCCAGAAAATATGGTATAGCCACACTATGGAGTACTGTTCAGCAATCAGGAATGATGAAATGTTGCCATTTACTGAAAAAATGGAGAGTATGAGGGAATTATATGTAGTAAGGAAAGAATAATGAAAACAAATAGTGGACATTTACACAATGGAAGATTTGACAAAACAAAATAATTATAAAAGCTAGTGGACATTAATAAACTCAGTGAGGGATCTGAGGT